TCCTTTTCTTCCCTTCTTAAGTCGACTCCTTCTCCTTTCTCTATGGTCTCTCGGTTTTAGCTTGAAGGTGGTGGGTTCTTTCCCGATTTTTTTCTCTCTCTCTTGGAAGGTGATTTGCAAGTCATGAAGGGCTATTCCTGAGCCTAAATCTGCCATAAGGGAAGGAAGAAAAGCTGCTGGACATTTTCGGCCAAAGACAGGTTGTATCTTTCCACCCTTTTTCATTGTTTTGCCTTAGAATTTCTTCTATTGTTTGACGTTTTGGTTGATTGAACTCCTAGGATCCCCAACAAACTGGTATCAGAGCTAGGAGGAGTGAAATCTGTCCAAAAATCGATCAAAATCGGCAAGGAAATCGCTACTCCATTTTCTGACCGAAGATGATGATGAACAGTTCTTCCATGTGCAAATTCGCAACCAAGAGAGAGTGTTATGAGAACCAAGGTGAAGAATGTGAGAATATGGTTCTCTTAACTCCATTTATTCAGATTTTTGTGGACCATTGGATGAAGATCGACGGCCGGGATTTAATCTTGGGGGAGATGTTTTTGACTTGATGGTATTGATGGTGACACAATAAGGCTCCCCACGTTTTTGGCAGAGGGATGGGTCTTTCCTTTTCTTCCTTTCTTAAGTCGACCCTCTCTCCTTTCTCTATGGTCTCTCGGTTTTAGCTTGAAGGTGGTGGGTTCTTTGCCGATTTTTTCTCTCTCTCTTGGAAGGTGATTTGCAAGTCATGGAGGGCTGTTCATGAACCTAAATCTGCTATAAGGGAAGGAAGAAAAACTGCTGGACATTTTCGGGCAAAGACAGGTTGTATCTTTCCACCCTTTTTCATTGTTTTGCCTTAAAATTTCTTCTATTGTTTGATGTTTTGGTTGATTGGACTCCTAGGATCCCCAACAGAGTGCAACCACAGTGAAGATCAATAGAGACTTTCAGTCAGAATAATGGCAGTTTTCCTTCACCCTATCAGAGCATCCATCTTCGACCATAAGCCCGCAACCTTCAACAGAAAATAATGCTTTCGTGTAACGTCCTAGCCTTAACGACCCCGTGACACTAATAAAAACTTGAAGTAGCACAATAATATATAAATTGTTAATAAAAGTGCAGAAATTAACTTGGACCAAAAGCTTTAAAATTGAAGAAAATTTATTTTGTTAAAACTAAGATTTTTACCTTTAGACATCTTTCTAAAAAATAAACCGTTTGGTAACCAAACGAAGTCCAATATTCACAAAAAATTATTTGTAAGCATATTAAACATGAAAAATTAAATGTTAAAATTCCGTACGAGAATTCAATCAATAGGTTGATACTCTCGAGAAAAACGTCAATAACTTGAGTTTTAGACACTCAAAATCCAAGATTTTAATTTTAAGAGATAGATAACCCATATGGCTTCCTTCTCCAACTTGAATTACTTCAAAATTTCTAGTATTCTAGTTTGGTTGAATTTTTAAATGTTGGGACTGAAATTGAAAGTTTATAAACACTCTAACTTTGCAAACTCAAAATAACTATGAACTAAAAGAAAGTATCCTATCCTATTTGAACAAATTTTCATCAAATAAATGTCTTTAAATTCAAAATTGCTAAATTGAAATACTCGGGAATTTAAATATTTGTTCAAAAATCAAAATAGGGTTTACACCAAGGCACCATTGTTCTCCTTCATGTTGCAATCGACCACATTAATTTGAAATTATTAGGCAGGGGATTTAATACTTCATAGAAACACTAAATAGACTTGTATGCACGTTATATCAAAATATATCTTATACTCATTGAATTTAAGGGAGTGTATTCAATTGAAACTTTTAAATAATTTTTGGATTAAACAACTTTAAGAGTATTTAATATAGACTTTTTGAGACTCCAAAAATATTGATATATTCAATTGAACCTTTATAGACTTTTGAAAAGTCTTTAAAAGTCATAGTGTATTCTATTAATTTTTTTTAGAAATTTCTATAGGTCTTGGGTATTCAAATTGTCGATGGTTTTTATAAGTCTCTAAGATACTAATTTTTAAACAGACAATACAGAATTAAAATCTTAAAATTTTGTCTTTCATTTATCCCAAAATTTTGAGAGACTTTCACAAAAAAAATAAAAATAAATAAAATAATAATAATAATAATAATAATAATACATATTTTGTTGTTTCTTTTAATATTTATCTTTTCTTTTCCCTTTTATAGACATTAGAGACATGATTAAAAGATTATTATCATCTTTCTTTTTGCGAATTCATTCTCTCTCTCTCTCTCTCTCTCTCTCTCTCTCTCTCTCTCTCTCTCTCTCTCTCTCTCTCTCTCTCTCTCTCTCTCTCTCTCTCTCTCTCTCTCTCTCTCTCTCTCTCTCTCTCTCTCTCTCTCTCTCTCTCTCTCTCTCTCTCTCTCTCTCTCTCTCTCTCTCTCTCTGTGTTTATCTTCATTTTTTATGAAAAATTTAATTGTAACTAAAGATTCTTATAACTTTTATTCTTCTTTATCCACTTTTTTATGAAAAAGATCTATTTGTAATTAAATTATAAGTTTTTATATAAAAGAGACTAATTTATAACTAAATTTAAATATATTGATTTCTTGTTTACTCTTGAAAATTATGTCATATTGATAATACTGAAATTTAAATTTATTGTTTATTACTTATATATGTGTGTGTGTGCGCGCGCGCGCTCGCGTACATTTTCATTATTATTTATTTAATGTAGGTTACTTAAATTTTTATTCTTTTAAAAATATTTGCCTTGAAACGATAATTTCTATTGGCTGCCAAGCTCGATAAGTCAAGTCATCATTGGACAGATGGAGTTACTATCACCTAGGCAATGATCACCTATTGCCTAGGTAATCGTTACTTTCCTCTAATTAGTTAATGTGGAGATGTTGAAGTCATAGGTGACATGTGTTGCTTTAAAACTGATTTTAAAGGAGGTGATGATGTCATTGATGGAGCACCTTTTTAAGGTTTAATGATGATGTTCCCTTGTGACAATAGTGGATGGCCAAGCTATTTTGGGAGAGCTCTTTAGTGTAACCACAAAATCAATTTGTTATAGCACTTGTTTTTAATCCTTTTGAAGTGTTGCCAAGGTGGCTTGAGTTCGGTCACCAACAAGGCCTACACACATCAATTAAGAAAGGAGCCGCTGATCATCTTTAACACTTATTAAGATGTTCAAAATAAGTTCTGATTTTCTTGTTTTGTACTTTCTGATGAAGCTCTTTTTGAAACTTAGCTTCTTGTCAATTAAATGAATAATCCATATGACCAAATGCAATATAGGAAAATCAAAAGCACCAAACACACGATTTAATGCGCTTCCCTTCCAATGCAAGAGCTATGTTCACCTAATGCTACTGCAAAATTTGCTATCTAAAAAATAAAAAAATAAAAAAGGAAGGGGAAAAGAAACAGCTCTCTCTCTCTCTCAAAAAAAGGGAAAAGAAACAGCTCTCTCTCTCTCTCTCTCTCTCTCTCTACTATGACAATTGGAATTGGGGCTCACCCCTAATACCCTTTGTATAGGAGCAAAACATTAGGAGGAACTAATATATGTCCAATATCCCAAAGGTTGAACCATGGGCAAAGGGAAAAGTGTATAATACATTATGCTCCTCACAACCAACACAGTTTCCCTTTCTTGATCCCGTGTGCTTGCTGGAACGAGCAATTTTCTTGGAAGACATACCAGTTCCATAAACCTGGGCATAAACATATTACTGATATGAAATCAGAAGTAAAAACTTCAGTGTGTACCTGATAATCTTGTCTACCTTTTAGCAACGTTAGAAAGGATGCAACAAAGCTAATTTGGGGCCCAGAAGATTCAGACTCAGCCAGGGCTGGATATGGAGTAGAACCAGAACACAAATTAATTGGAACTTAGCCATTCATCTCCATTTCCAGCCATGGACAAGTCTGTCCACCGCTCGGAACTGAGCTTCCTCTGCTATGGAAGGGGTGGCGGTGGCCTTATGCAGAAGAACGTAATCACTATATATAACAAGAAACTGTGGATAAAATCTAAACAAAAAATGATGTCTATTTTCCTTGGATTACAACGGTTTACCGATGGGAGAATAATCCAAGGAAACGAACACTGTAAAAGTTAATGGTTGATATGATTTCTTCGATAACAAATGCAAAAAAGGCATCGAACTGAACTATGAAATCCCATCAAAACTTGTTAAGATCAAGAATGATTGGGTCTCTGTTAATCAAACAGAGTGATGTCGATGTGTACAAGGTTTAGTGCGTGGCATTTTCTTCCTTGTTCATTAAAAACTAGGGAATTTCTCATCTGTATTTGATCAGATGGAATTGAATAAACTTGGCCGGCCGATAGTATAGATTTCAAACATCAAATAACTTTATAAATTTGGGTCCAAAAGCTGATAGCTTTTTTTTATTTTTATTTTCAGCCAGACTCCTTGATTTTCAATTTTACCTAGTTTCTTTAGGCAATGAGCTCTCAAACTTTTTGCAAAGCCTTCGTTGTTTCCCTGTACTTTCACAAAGAATTATCTTTTAAGTTATCTTTTAATGTAGAATTGATCTCGTGCCTCCATTGGATAGAATAAAAATTTTTCACTACTGATGTGGCAAGAGAACTTTAGTTATGGTTCTCTGAACGGTAGAAAGTTTTTATCCTGCTCACTGACACGAGATCTGGACTGATTTTTAAGGACAACCAAACATACAACCTTTGTTTTCTCCATGAACATACACAAGTAGGCATCAAAATCAGTAAAGGCCAAGACTGGTTTTATGTTTCATGAAGCCACCTACTACAGCTGCAGACAATAAAAGCAGCGAAAACTTGCCCTCTGACCAGCCTTAACTATTTCTGGGAACACCACTTCAAGAAACTAGCATAACTTAAAATTTTATAGACATCTGAGCAATATCAGATTACAGAAACATGAAATTTTTGGTAATGAATTAACGGGAAAGAAAAAGGATATAAGGTGGAAGTAGGAAAAAGAAAAACAATAAACTGAGAACTTTTATTGCTGAACCACAATACTCATAAACAGTAATTTTTCTTGGGTCAATTACAGCACATTGGAAAATGGATTAATTGTACGACTCTTTATCTTCATGGGCGTAAAATATGATCATCTACACCATGGAGATCCGCTGCAAACCCAAGTACAGAATCAAACCGCATATCACCTCCAGAAATCGCTAGAGATTGTTTTAAACTCTGGTTTTCTGCTTCAAGTTCAGCTTCTCTCTGCTTACTCTCGTTAAGCTTCTTTTGGAGCTCAGCTTCCTTCTCTCTACTCTCCTCCAGTGCTAGCTGGAGATCAGCATTATTTCGTTCCAAATCCCCTATGGATTTCCGAGCTCGCTTACACGCTCTTTTCCTGTTGAACCAGCTGGCAATCTGCTCCATATCCAGACCTGTAGTCCTCACCAAGTCAACCTTCTTCTCTCTGGTCAAATTCTCCGACTCTTCAAATGCCGACTTGAGAATATCAATCTGACATTTCTCAAACCGTTTAGCCATGAGCTTCACACAGTTAAAATCCTCAATCTTGCTGTTTTGATTTATACGAAAGATTAGTCACTTCAAAAATAAACTTATAACAGTAAAATGAAAATGAAAACAGATCAGTGTCAGGACAAGCAAATGAAAACAAATTGAACAACGAAGAATACGAGGACCAGTTTTAAGGACCAATTAGAGGCTCCTAGGAGGATGTTAGTGGTCAAATATGAAATTTGGCAGACAAATATTTTTAACGTGTATTCCCTGCATTCGTGACAAGGATTGGTGTATTCTCTCTCTGTCAGCATTCATACGTCATTGTATTGTATGCATCATTTCCTTCATAATAACACAACAAAAAACCATAAATTTCACCCACGTAGTATTCTGTCTCAGCATCTTTTGCCGAATGATTTGTCTCCATGTTAAAGGACATCAATTGCATCGTTTCATTTTAAGAATTTTTAACTGTTATCATAGCATTTGCTGGCATGTAAAACGATTCAAAAGGACAATGCTGATCCTCTTTCTGTTCTTCCATTTCTACATAAACTACTGAATCTACATCCCAGGTAACTACTTAAATCTAAAATTAAACCCACATGCAATTCCCTCAACAATAAACTTGATTTCATTTTATTGCAAGCAGTTTCCTGTAGTTATCAGAAAATTGTACCCCGTCTTTTAGTCCAAAGAAAACTGTCGATAATTGTAAAGTACTCAAGATCAACTAATTATTACATGACCTTAAAATTTCTTCTCTACACCCTTTTCAGTATCTTTCAGGAAAAATATACCTTATACCGATATGTTATCTCAATAAAGTGTATGAATCTACTTTCAATGTGATTAATGAAAAGCCAATTACATGAAGAGTGAAGCACAACTAGTAATGAACATTCACCTAGAAACATACAGAAACTGAGAAACTAAGTATTTTGAAAACAAAGTTAAGTAATTAACATGTCTCGAAAAACACGTCAAGTACTACATTCAGCTATATCTTAGTTCCAAGCTGCATTAGTCTACCACATGAATTATTCATGTTGCAACTTGCAACTTGTACCACTTAATCATAAATAGAATGCATCATTGGAGATTTGTTGGATAGTAGCTATCAATTTGTTAGAACTTTTTGCATCAAATAATAAAAAATTTAAACGAAGAAAATCTAACAGCTCCGTTATCTTAATCTCATCCATGCCACTGTCCTATTTCACATACAGGAGCCATGACACTTTATTGCATCAAACCTCAAGACAATAACATTCGTTCAGGTGTACCTACCTCACAAATGATTTTGTTCTATATACTTCCTACATATAATAGTGTTGCAACTTGCAACATTTCTTAAACTAATCACTATTAAACTGTTTCAGATTTATTGGGTAGTGAACATCAATATGAGTAAGGCGGCCGTGCTTTAATTAAATATTATGTGAGGTCAGCTATAAGAATTGTTTTTCTCTTATATCATTTTTCTTTTTATTTAGCCAAGCATGTTATTCTTCCTAAACAGTAATCTACATTCATCTTTTTAAAATGCTAAAATTATTTAAAACCAGTTTATTGCTTTTCTTAACTTCCATGGGGTTCTTTGAAGCATTTTATGATTATTCAATTTGTTGCAGAGTAAGCAATGAATGGAAACATACGGTAACACGAACTCAAAAGCCTTAATCAAGTACATAACCTATAAGAATATTCTTCTCCACAAAGGGGGGCTTACTCCCATTATTGCCGATGCCTTTTTTTATTTAGCCAATCATATCCCTAAACAGTAATCTACACGTCATCCTTAAATACATCTAAAAATATTAACACAACTTTATTCATTTATCTAAACTCATTTTCCAAAGATGCTCCACTCGAAATAGTGATGCAATCCCGTAAGAACATATCAGAAGAGTACAATGTGCACCACCGAAACAAAATGACCTGGGCCTAACAGAAATAGTAATGAACTAAACAGATTGAGAAAAAACTCATGTAGTCAGACCTAAAATTTATTTAAAAACTAGTTTATTGTTGTCTCTTTAATAAATCTTTTTGGACTTTGTTAGAATATTTTATTAATAGCTTTTAGAAGAAGTTGGACCAAAGACCTTCTTAGAAAGCCCTTCTACAAAAAACAGAAGAAGCATTGCAAACGGGCCCTCAATCTTCTCTATGTTATTCCCTTTTGGAATTCCATTCAACTTCTCTTTCGGTCTCATCAGATTCACTTGATAGGCATATTCTAAGGGAACACACTCCATAACCAAGAATGTATAGTGCAATTTCCCATTCTTCCATATCTATGGACAGTGATTGAGCTCAAAAGCATACATAAACTAAAATTACATCCAGACAACAATGACATTCAGTATTCAAATTTAACAGAAGAAAAGAAATGAAATACAAAATTGCACTCCAAATCTCTTAACAGAGTTTGATAAGAATTTTATTGTAAACTGTTACTTGAAATTTATGAGAAAGCCATACCTCTTTTTATTCCGACGAAAAGTGCCAAGTACTAATAAATTCCATGGGTAGTAAAATAATGGTGAAGCACTGAACATCAACAAATTCTCACATGCATTATGAAATTGAACTTATTTTGTCCCAACTTCATTCCTATAGTAGCTTATAGGAAAAACCTACCTACCATAAATACCAACATATGTTACCTCAACGAAGTGTATAAATTCACTATGTACTAGCAATATGATTGATGACAAGTCAATTACATGAAGAGTGAAATGCCACCACCTCGGATCCAGGAATCCATGTGAGCACGGGTGGCCACTAAACGGCTACTTGAGAGGCTGTCGAACGGCCGCTCAAGATAAGAAAATAAAGCCAGCATGGATGGCCGCAGGGCTTGCGGGTGCTGGCTCTGCCCCTACCCACATAATTAGTTTCAGTGCAATATGAATTTTTTCATAGTTCACACCTTAGCGTGTAGATTGATATAACCATTGCAGATATCCTATCTTCTTAAAAATGTAATCATCAAAAAAAGGAAATTGAGAAAATCATATCATCAAAACAAACTTAAATGATGGGGAATACCAAGAAATTGGATATAAAATAATTAGATTTACCATTTATTATAGTATGCATAAGAGTTCTGAATACATCGAAACCTATGCATCATTTGAGCAGCTTTTGGAAACCCAACCTGCCCACCGAAAGCAAAAGTTGAAAATGCCAAGAACAGGTAGTTAAAAAGTGTTCAAGGGTTAGCAAGATTCAAGTAAAATGCAAAACAATATATCAATTAAGTCTGTAAAATGCGAAAATAAGAAAGCAATAAAGGTGTTCATACATGAGTGAGCAATCAATTTGTGACTGCAAATGCCCATTTCCTGAATTGATAACAGCAGATCCAGACTCGCTCAGGACTGGATATGGAGCAAAAAGATATTAGTAGAAAGTACTGCTCCTGCTCCATAGCCATCCCTGTCCAAGTCCATCCGCTGCTTTGAGCTTCAATTCTTAATGCAGGATGTATTTGTTAGCACAAGATCTTTTTTATTTATACTATGATTTTGCGGATCACCCAAGAAATTATTAGGTGGAATTTGAGAATAAGTTGTAATCAAGTGCCTGTCTGACTCTCTATAATTAGCAGCAGGTTTTGTTGAAAAACTCAAAATGGTTGTTTGACTCTCTATATACATTCAAATATTTTAATTTTCAATACAAAAAGATAATAAATATTTTTTTTAAAGTCGTAAAATTTAAGTTTTAAAAATAAAGCGTTTGTTAGAATACTCAAAAATTTTTACATTCTAAATTTATAGATTCTTCTTAAATTATTAAATATTTTATTCAAAAATAGAGAGATTTATGAAAATGCTCTAAAATTTTAATCCCCATACTAATGGTCACTTAGAAAATTTTTACGTGACATTGTTAATTGTCAACTTGCACATAAATAATAGGGTAATTAGCACAAAACATCCATACCTTTCGATATTTTTGTGAAAAACGTCCCTACCTTTCATTTTTTGGTGGATTACACTCTTACCTTTACATTTTTTTGCGCAAAACGTCCTTCTGTCAACTCTCCGTTAAAATGCTCCGTTAAATCAAAAAGGTAATTAGCATAAAAGGTCCCTACCTTTCAAAATTATTGTGCAAAACGTCCTTACCTTTTATTTTTTAGCATAATTAGCAGAAAATGTCCCTACCTTTCAATATTATTGTGCAAAACGTCCCTACCTCTCATTTTTAGCATTTTTACCCCTACATTTCACCTTTCATTGTGCAAAAGGTCATTTTCATCCATTTTTCAATAAAATGACGATTTTACCCTCCTATTGAAATAAAACAAAAAGAAAAGAAAAAAATAATTAATTAATTGCAATCATAGTTCTAAATCTTTCAAAACATTACAGATAAATCCTAAATTCTCTACTACCGCCACTTTCACAACCCCACCAAGCCACCACCTATAGATCCATATAGCACCATTTTTTGACTACAACACATAGGACTCCACCACCACCAGCGTCGCCTCACTCTCCCCAATATCCTCCTCCATAGTATTGGTCACCAATCTGTCCGAAACAACCACATTTACGGTGGTAGAGTCCGGTGGGCATGGTGGCCGAAAGATGGTATTATGTGGATTTATAATTGGCAACTTGATAGGTTGTGAAAATGGTGGTGGTTGAGAATTTATGATTTTTTGTAATTTTTTAAAAATTTAAGGATTATGGTTGCAGTTGATAATTCATCTTTTCTTTTTGTTTTATTTGAATAGGAGGGTAAAATCGTCATTTTATTGAAAAAAATGGATGAGAATGACCTTTTTTGCAATGAAAGGTGAAAGGTAGGGGTGAAAATGCTAAAAATGAAAGGTAGGGACGTTTTGCACAATAATATTGAAAGGTAGGGACCTTTTCTACTAATTATGCTAAAAAATAAAAAGTAGGGACGTTTTGCACAATAACTTTGAAAGGTAGGGACCTTTTTGTGCTAATTACCTTTTTGATTTAACGGAGCATTTTAACGGAGAGTTGACAGAAGGACGTTTTGCGCAAAAAAATGTAAAGATAAGGGTGTAATCCACCAAAAAATGAAAGGTAGGGACGTTTTCCACAAAAACATCGAAAGGTAGGGACGTTTTGTGCTAATTACCCTAAATAATATTACCTAGTATGTCACGACAAATACAATAGTAATTTTTGTAAAAATTAATTCAAAATTTCTTTAAATTTGAAGTTGTTTTGTGAACCTTTATTATTGTCATTATTATTTTTTCCATCTAAACTCATTTTTTCATTTCATTTCAATTACTTTTTTTTTTTGTTGCATCTGAACTTTTTGTGTTATACGTTTGGTTAAAGTGGTGTACTAGTTAACGTTGTTCATTAATGTTCACATTTAACGGTGCCACTTGATTTTTTGGTTAACAATTTCAACCGTGCGACCATTGGAAACTTGAGTGATCGCTATAGTAAAATATACTTCAATGACCATTTTGAAAAATTTAACAAACTTTAATTGCTAAAATTAATCGATAGAGTAATATGTTAAAGTACAAGCTTTATCTTTTCATATTTGTCCTTCACATCGAGTTGTTCCAAATGAATTAGTTTTTTATGCTTCTAGTATGATTAATTAAATCCTACATATACACCATTAAAGCCAACGTGAACCAACAAGGCGTCAATCCATTTATGTCACGCTAACAATATGATAACGAAACTCAATTTGTTGTAAGTAAAAAAATTAATGTAGTACGCAAAAAGATCAAAGAGGTGAAATCAATTGAGTTTTAAGATTTTGTCATCCAGTTTTAAGCACGATTATGACTTTTCCGACAATAGAATTGATGGCTTAGAAGTACAATGGCTTTAGCAATGTCCACTCATGGATGCGTGTTAATTTAATTAACAGAGTGACCATATTGGCATCGTTAGAAAAATTCGGAGATTGCTTTGGAACAAAATATTTTATATGCACTAACTTAGAATTTTTCAGCAACTTTTAAGGACCAAATAAGTATTTAATTCCGTAACAATGTGTTTTCGTCCTTTCGTTTATAGTAGTTTTGTGCCCAGAATATTGTGTCTTAGGGCACAGACATTTGGAGCCAATTTGGGGGATGAGTAAAATAATTGGATTAGAACAATCCGGCTCAGAGTACGTCTCCAAGTTCACGGTCCGTGCTGGCCAGTCCACTCGTCTTTATTATTATTATCATTTGGCTTCTATAGAAAATTAATTAAAAGAAATTTAAACAAACAGTTGAGCTATGGGTAAGCAGGGGCGGACCCAAAAAATGATGTTAGAATGGGCTGAAACTTAAAATTTTATTAATGAACTTACGCCACAAGAAATCAGTTTTGGAGGCTATTCTTGTGGCATTCACAATAAAAAGTATACGATACTCAATGAAAAAAAAAAAGTTTAGATGTCTCACATTAATATATTTTACTAAATTTTTGTATTTTTTTTACCAAACGCTTACTTTAAAAAATATAAACTAACTGAATCATGATAGAAATAAACAAATAAAAATTTTAAAAAATACTGAATAAGTACTCTTCTAATAACTTTTACAACCAATCTTTCCGTACAACTGAAACTTGATTGAAACATGCAATCAATAATATATCACTATAATCCATATGTTATTGTCTCAAAATGTTATTTGGCGTTTTCATCGATCTTCTATATCATTGCATTTCAAAGTGAGTAAAGAATCTCAATCAAAATAAGAAAAGCCAACTAAGATTTTCGACGGTTAAAGAAATTAAATTTAATTCACGTCCATTTTCTGCTCGATTTCAAGAATATACTCGTATCTATATTACTTCATAAATAGATAAATTTTATCAAATATTCTTTTATTGTTAATATCAAATCTATAGTAAGTTATTTATTTTAATCATAATATCTATTTTACGGTCAAAATAAGTAATTTTTTTAAATAAATATGAATAAATAATAAATAAAAACAAACGCAGAAATAAAAAATAGTAATTACTTTTAAATTTTGAAAAATATGTAGTGTCTCTAACTATTAAAATAAGTAATTTACTTTTAAATTTAATCAATACAAATTATCTAAAATAAAATTTACTTAATAATTATAAGTAAATTTTAGTCAAACATACATTAAATAGAATATCTAATTTGACAATAAAATATTCACATTTTATGAATTTCTTGAAACGAGTAATTAATAATTAGTTTTTTTATACAATTTAAATAACTGAACATTGGACTTGGATTAAGATTCAAGTTAGAGTTGGACTAATGCTAATATTTGGGCCAAAACTCTACAATTTCTTCTTAATTTTTTATATGGGTTGGGGAGTAGTGGGCTAATGCTAACATTTGGGCAAAAACTCTACACTTTTTTCCTAATTTTTTATATGGGCTGGGGAGTCGTGCTGGGCTACAACCAAGCATGCCCCTCCACTACCTCCGCCCCATGTGGGTAAGCCTGGTCTAATAGAACAAGAGTGGGGCGTCGAGTTCAAACACAATACTGAGTCAAGAAAAAGTATCGGAGAAGATCTTAAATGCATTATGTGAATTGCTATAGGTGACATTAATGTCTATTGAATAGACATTCAATTCAAAATTGATCTTCAATTTATTCAATAAATTGCTATTTAAGTGATTTTTTTTAAAAATAAGAGTGAGATAACAAAATAATAAATGTTTGATAAATAATCTCGCTTAAAATAATAAAATTTATTTGATCTTGACTCAAATCAATAAATTAAATTAATAATCTCACACAATGCATAAGATAGAATCTTTATTTAAAATTCTTTAGGGCCATATGAAAATATAATAAAACAATTCAACAAATACCTAAAAATTTTAAATGGATATTAAGGAAATTTTTATTTTGACAGCTTTTAATTTTTATTTTAGTCCAATTATTTTCTTGAAAACATCCATATAAAATAGCTTGCTCCCCCCCCCCCCCCCCCTTCTTTTTCTTGCCCCCCCCCCCCCCCCCCCCTTCTTTTTGTTTTTTAGTACTCAAATCAAACTCGAACTCATCTCTAATTTTTGCGATGCCTATATCACATTTGATTAAAATTGTAATATAAAAAAATTACTTAAGGTTACTTTGCTTGAAATGCATCTTGTGAAAAAATAATTAGTGAAACGCAATTATCAATATCTATGTCATGATCATCATCATTTGGCTTTCATCACCCCTTGAACAATCTATTGGACACTAGGCTATTTCATATTGCTTGACATTCATGAAACATCTACTACTTATAATTCCCAATAAAATTGTGTAGCGAAAAGGAAAAATAGGACTTTAATTGAAGTGGACACTTTGTTTTGACAATTGTTGCAAGTGTGTCGCCTATGGTATAAGAGGCTTAATAACTTGATGCCATTCCCACTTTTTTTTTTTTTTTTTTTTTAGCTTATTACTGACAATTTGTTAATGATATGTTGCGTAATTTCGAATTAAGGATATTCGGGTGATGCCTTGTTAGCTTCATTTCACATTCTAAATAGCGTTGTCCTCGTAAAGGAAATAAGATCACACCTCATGAAT